TCTATCGAAAAATCGATTACAAAATCGATAACAAAATCGATTCCAAAGTCAATAACAAAATTGATAACAAAATCTATCAAAAAATCCATTACAAAATCGGTAATAAATTCGATAAAAAAATCGATAAAACTATCGATAACAAAAGCGATGGCAATATCGATAGCAAAATCGGTAAAAAACCGATAAAAATACCGACAACAAAAGCGATAACAATATCTATAGAAAAATCGATAAAAATATTGATGACAAAAGCGACAAAAATATCGATAACAAAAGCGATAACAATATCGATAGCAAAATTGTTAAAACAATCAAGAAAAATATCGATAACAAAACCGATAAATAATCAATAATAAAATCAATAACAGAATCGATTACAAAATCGATAACAAAATCGATAAAAATATCGATCATTATATCGATAAGTTCCGACCATGCCCACTCATCTGGTCCAACCTCGTCGACGGGGTTTGATGAGCAAACCGACTTAGACGGATACGACGACAATAACAAAAACAATAACCTCTTGATGTTACTTTTCGTAAAGCAAAAAATACGCGTATATTTTGTTTAGTTTGCCTCAAAGTTTTTAGAACAGCACAATTGATTTGCGCTTTCGTGAGAAAGTTTCTGTTTATTTCCAGCAGCCTTTCTACAAAGCCCATGCAAACCCCATTTCTATGGAAAAATACTCGTATACGTACTTTTGCACAAGTGAATATTAAGCTTTTAGTTCGCAACAGACTCCCACAAATGCAACACGAAAAGAAACTGTAAACACACGAGGGAGGCGTAGAGCAAAAGAAAACTCAAATTGAAATACTCCCATGAAAGGGCATTTGCCTTGAGGGAGTAAATCGTTGCGCTGTTTGTTTTAAATGTTGCGAAAAAGTAGACCGGAAGTGCTGGCCATAACATGGCGCATACAAATGGAGACTTGCAATCGCACATTAATACTACATACATATGTACATATGTGTGTGTGTCAATATTGGCAAATGTTGTTTGCACCTTGCCACCGCGGTTGCCGACTTTGAGCTCGTCGTCTTCTTTGGTGTCGTAGGACGCGTTTCGGTGTGTAATCGATTTCTCAACGCTTTGAATGCCTTGAGGCAGAGCAGGCTTACTCATACATCTACGAGTATATGGTACGTGCGTATTGAAGTTGAGCTCTTTTTGCGTTTGTCGCATTATACTTAGTCAACTGTTTGTATTTTTTTTTGCTTCTTCCCCATCACCTTTGGTCCTTTTCTTCGTTAACACTCTTAACAGCGTTGTCGTACAATTTTGTCAATGAGTTTTGTTTCATTCCATTTCCTTCAGATTCCCTTGCACCTACCGTCGGCAAGGTGGCATCGCGCACAAACGCAAATGCTCAATGGACGGTATTGTGTCACCAGCAACGTGCCAACAAACAAAGGCAACGGGTGGCGAGCGCATTGAATGGTAGGCGGCGGCTTACTTCAAGGACACAGCACAATGCGTAGCATATGAAGGCAATGCCACGTGACTTTTTGGAATTTCGGAAGTCGGTACTTTTATATATTGCGTATCTTCCATACACTAAATGTACTATATGCGCCTCAATGTTGATACTTTATGCGGTTTCGTGCTACCGCTGATCTTTTGTTTGTCACCATTTAACTGTTGGTCATTGTTCGACAGCAAATGACAAAAATTTTGCATGTCCTTGACAAATGTTTATTGCTGTAATGCTCCATTGAAGTGTTTGTTGCATGTAGGATAGATAACCCCACCACACGCAGTTCCTTTGTTCTCATTGGCAAATTAACTATTTGTCCTTCGTAGCTTCTGTTGACCATGCAATCGTATTTAACGGATATTTTTGGTGATACTGATTTTATTGCTTCCGGCACACCTGCGCCATTGCACTACAGCAAGGATCCTCGTTGGTGGTGATGTGTCAAATGTAAAATTAAAATATTTTTTGTGATGCCCGCAGATTGTAGAATAATTTCTCTTTGAAGGTTCACTTATAGCAAAACTCAGTACACGAGTCATGTGAACTGGATATAATTTTTGGGCATTTCAAAACAGGACCATAGAGACTCATGTAGAAACTCGTCATAATTTATGGGCATTTTAGAACTAAACATACATGTTTGGTGTTATAAAGCTAGGCAAGATTTTTTGGAGATTAAAAGATTGGACATCATTTTTTGGAAAAAATTTGACATAATTTTTTGGAAAAAATTGGACATAATTTTTTGGAAAAAATTGGACATAATTTTTTGGAAAAAATATGACATAATTTTTTGGTAATTTAGAACTAGACATAATTCTCTAGCTATCTCTATTAACTTTTGGTAATTTTAAAACTCGCCATATAATTTTGGTGTTTTCAAAACTGGACATAATTCTTTGGTCGTTTAAAAACCAGAAATATGTTTTTAATCATATAGAAGCCGGTCAAAATCTGCCGTATTTAAAAACTGGACATACATACGGGACATAATTTTTGGACTTAAAAACTAGACATATTGTGAGGTCAATAAAAATGTCCAATTTTATATATTTTTTTATTTTTTGTTTGGTAATTTAAAAACTGGTCACTTCATAAGAGGCCACACAGTTTTGGCATAAAATTTGTTGGTCACTTTAGAGCTGAACATACATTTTTGGGCGCTTAAAAACTGAACATATTTTTTTTTTTGTTTAAAAACTCGATGAATTTTTGGCCATCTCAATTTTGGCGTTTTCAAAATTGAAAAAAATTTTGGGATAATTAAAATCTCATTTAATTTTTAGTTATTTTAAGTTTTTAGTAATTTCAGAAATAGGAATTTCAGGAGGATTTTAAGGCTTTTCATAAGCAAATGGGTTTTACGCCATTTACGCCACAAGAATCTGTAAAAAAATAGTCCCAAAAGAGCAAATGTAAACTTTTAACCCTTAGTGCGCCGCCAAGAGCCGTATAGGCAAAAGTATTGGAGAAAATAAATATAAAAGGCAAAACAAAACAAATACAGTAAGTTAATATAAATAATAAAGAAAGGAACATGTGCCAGCTTAATAGAAAAAAAGCAACAAAGTGAAAGAAACAGAGATAGTAGCAACAAAAACAAAAGCAATAGAATAAACACCGTCATGCGCTGTGTGAATTTGTAAGCATCAGTTGCAATCAATAGCAATAGCGAGTGCGTGTGTGTGTGTGTTTGTTGTGTGCGATGCCATTGCGGCATCATATTCTAATTAAGCGTGAAGCGCACCTG